AAACTGGTGGTCAATCACCTGCCATTATGGAGGTTCCCTTCTCCCCTCCTGCAGTTAATCGGAAGACTCGAACAATTTTGCCAAATAAGTCAGATTTATATTATTCATTTATTTTTTGTAATAAAAGATTACCATGTTTGAATGTGCATAGGTGTTCTTTAAAAATAAGTTTAGGACTAAAAATTGAAAATTATCCGAGTAAAAAGTTGCTGTATGGCAGAGTATAGTAACATTTATTGCTTTACCGGAGAACTGAACTCAACAGCAACGCTTTCTTATAAACCAGAGCCTTTAAAACTGCAACCTTCAATGCCCCTAACAATTATGGTGATTACCGTAGACCGTATTTACCCAGAGGAGGATTATTCAGCAAAAAGCGTTTATCTTAAACAAATAGAACTGATGCAGACAGACATTGCATTTTAAACCGATTAGTTAGGTATATTTTATTTTACTAGGAACCTAGAAAATTAATAACTAAAAAAAACTCACTCATAAATAAAGACCAAAAATTGGAGTATACACTCCAAGACCCCTATTTTTCTATAACACATAATAAAATTTGTAACGCCATCCTCGAACTCTTCTCAATGCGAATAAACGTATCAACTGCGAAATAATCACATTACAACACGATTTAGAACAAAAATAAAATCATGCTCCTTTTGTGTCATCTCATTCTGAAAAAGTATTAAAATACATCCATAGTCTTGTGTCACTAATGTCAGTAACATTTTCTTTCTTACAAAAAGATTTTTTAAAACCAGTATTTAATCCAGATATAGCTATTTATTCATAACCAAAAAGTGAAACCAGTTAAATGAAAATCCATTCCTCTGATTCATAAATATAATACTTCTGTTTGATTGAGTATCGCAGCACTTAAAAAACTACAATTTTGTTTAAAGAAAATGTTTGCTTCAGGACCACAGGTTCCAGGACCTTTGGGAGGCGTACGAGGGTCGAAGACAACTAGCAGAGACTGGACAACTTAGTGATTTTGACATTTCACTGATATTAGTGAAATGGGACATTTGCCAGCCAAGTGTAATGCAATATGGTAGAAAATTATATGGGTACGGGTGTGAGGCCTATGGCCTCATAGATATGATAACTATGTAAATACTATGGTTCCTGCTCCTGACCAATATTAATACACACGGATAAACAAGGAGGGGGTGACAGGCAAACTCAATTAATGGGCCCCTGGAAACGGCCGCTAGCATGTAGCGACACGGGGGCAACATACGTTCAACTGCTTAGAGAAGGAGAGGTATTCCACGGCTATCAAAGTAAACCCAGAGGTACGATCAAGACCCCTACCAGCATCTTACTGAGATACACCCTTCCCTCGAGTCTCCTTCAACTCCTATTATTGCTAATCTTCACTCAAACCAGCCAATTCGGACCTGCCGGGAGTCTATTCCGTGGAGATTGCCGTCGCCATTGCCCAATAGCTCGCCACACTTGCATGTCAGCAAGACAGTCCGTATATTATTTTTTATTACTTTATTACTCTTAGTACAAGCTTTTTTGCCACTAGACTTGCCGGCAGTACCAGGTTAAAAACTAGTTGTTATTCCAGACTATAAACTATCTCTAAACGAAATTCCATTCGGATTAGTCAAACAGATTTTAGGTGAAAGAGTAACAAGTTTCCATTCAAACTTACAAACTTCAGCGTTTATAAGATTACAGTAGTTGGAAACAGTTTAACTGACTATGTTACGAGTAGGTGGAATATCATCAAAACGTCCTCTCGCCCTGATCAAGATGGGAAGTATCTAAATCTTACTGACTAATTAATCATCCTGATCCAGCTCTTGTTCTGTGTTGGGGTACGGTAAGGTACCAGGTACTATATGACTACCTACAACGCCGCTGCCCTGATGAAGGGTTCACGATGAAATCTTCGGCGGATAGAAAGATTTTGGGTATATTAGTTTCAATAGTTACCGGAGGCCCAATCCTTCCTCAATTTCTACAACCCGAAAACCCCTCACACACTTGCAACTTCTCTGGTGTTCCAGGTTTCCAAATCCAGCGACGATTGCTTACCATCAGATAATCCTCGTTTGCCTAGTACGTAATGTGTCTAATCAGTAGAATTCCCAGAGTAGGTATTCTCAAGGCTCAAGCAGATATTTTGCTTATTGATAGACGGCCTCCATTGTACCTACGCCACATTATCGCTTACTATCAAGCCAGATATTGACCTACAGCACACCTATTTATTGATAATACAATGAAAATAGTTTGCAAAAATTCTTAAAATAACAGTTGATAGTATGAAGTCTCTTAGACTGCACGGTTGGTGCGGTGGCTGGGCAACTGGCTGCCGTGCAACGTGTCGCGGGTTCGATTCCCGCACGGAACAACTCTTTGTGTGACCCACAAATTGTTGTTCCGGGTCTGGGTGTCATGTGTATGTGAAATTGTATGTTTGTAACCGCACCCACGACACAGGAGAAAATCCTAGTGTGGGGCAACGTTTTTTAAAAAGATAAAAAGATAGATAGATAAAAAAAAAGTCTCTATGAAATGACAACAACTTTATACAAATGCCTTTATTTTTATAAAATAATATCAACATAATTATGACAAACAAAATTATTTTCCTATAAAGTTCAATCATATAGCCTACCGACTTAAAAACACTTCATACATCTTATTAAAATCTTTTGTGTTATTTTTAATACCAGCCCTGTGATTAACAATTTCTTCAAAAAGTCCACGTAATAAAGTAGTAGCAAATACATGATTTTTATCATCTATTGGAAGTTCGTATGCCTTTTCTTTTAATTTATCAATGTACGAATCATCTTGTCCTTTATTAACCTCCAATCTTTCAACTGGAACAGGTTCATCGGACTTTATAGATTCTGGTATTTTCCCTCCATCTACATTCTCATAATTATAACGTATAGAATCTTCTGCGTTTTGAGCTAATCTTGTATTCGCCAGTTTTACTCGATTTGCATGTTTTTTAAGAATACGTTTTAAATACAGTTTTATATTTGCAAAAGTATCTTGAACCCAAGTCGTGTAATAAATTACAAATAGAATAACTGCGACCCATACGGCGAAACATAAAATGCAACTTGTGCCTCCTATTGGGAAACAGGTTTTTGAAGAATGCGCGCAACAACAGCAGGATCTAGTGCAGCAGTATGCTAAGCACCATGGTACTAATTTAATTAATTGCAAAATAGTTGATACCAATGTGTGGACAGTGCGGATTATTAACCGCAAAAAATCTTCTATCGCAAATAAGATAATCAGAAAAATACGTACTAAGGTCTCTAGAGTACAATAAATTGGCGCCACGACCAATGTGCTCCACGATGTCATTCTGTCAACTGCCTGTATTTTTCCGTATTGTTATTATCTAATCATGTTGGAACAGTTTTATTTTCTTCACGAATATATCATATTGAAAACTTCTTTATAGGTATTTTACATGAATTTTCTGGATTTTTATCTAATGTTTTGTCAACTTCTTTAAAAAAGTCAAATATTATGATAATTTATTGAGTATAAAAATACTATCACAGATTATATGTGGATTAGGTACTGTGAACCACAGATTACTTTAAACTAGTCTGAATAGTATTGTTATGGCAATTTGAAATTACCACAGATTATAAGCTGAGTACAGAACAATATAAATTTCTATGCGTATGGAACCTTTTATATTTTAAAATGTTATTTAAAGCACAATAATAGGTATTCCATGTTTATATAAATAGGCTGGAACCACAAATGTATAGCGTAAGTTTAAATCGGAAAGTCATGTTTCGGCATTTATGAGCGAGCGCGACCGGTGTGTGTGACACTACACCACAGAAAACAGCCGTGAAACCACTTCAACAAAAGGTCTCGGTTTATTAAAAATGACGCCTTACTCACGTGAAATAACTAATAAAACTCTACTAGTTTCAGGTTACAATGGGACTCTCATTCATGAGCAGCGTGGCCGACGGGCTACTCAAGGCACTCAAGCTTGGGCGTTCAACGCGTTCTCTGTCGGCAGAAGCGCGCGCTTTCTTGCAGCAGCGACAGGTGCGGCAGCGTCAAACGTAGTGCTTAAGTTCTCTTTGGGCGGCGTCTGCGACGTTATCGGCATACTCGGCTCCTTTAGCGGCTCGTTCGATTCCCAGGTCGCCACAAAATCAGTGTTGCATCAAGTCTACGCTTACAGTGTCACACTCCAGGTTGGGAACTGTAGGTCGACGTAGACGTAGCTCTTAATTATATTAAGAGTATCGTTGTGACTTGAAACTTGTAGTTATTTCACGTAAGTCGTTATTTTCAATAAGTTTAGTATGTTTTTTTTTATGGAATAGGTGGCAAACGAGCAGACGGATTACCTGGCGGTAAGCGATCGGCGCCGCCCATGGACATCCGTAACACCAGAGGTGTCACAGGTGCGTTGCCGGCCTTTTAAGAAGGAATACGCTCGTTTCTTAAAGGTTTGAAGGTCGTATCGGTTCGGGAATACCGCCGCCGGAAGATCATTCCAAAGTTTTGCTGTGCGGGGCAGAAAGTTTCGGGTGAATCGCACAGTTGTTGACTGCCAACCATCTATGTGATGGGGATTAAAAAGTGTCGCATGATAAGTACTATATACATAATAACAGGTCTCAGATTTGTGCGTATGCATTGAATAAATAATACCGAAATATTAGATACCTTAATACTGAAAGACGAGAGAAGAACCCGGAGACTAACTCGAAAAAATCACATTGTATTTGCCAGGTTTTGAACCCACATCAGACGTCAGTCAGTCTTCCGGGCGAGAAAGAGGGATGAAGCTATACACCTTTTATAGCTCCATCCCTCTTTCTCGCCCGGAAGATTCACGCTGTAACACGTCATTGTAGGCTTACTTAATACGTAAGACGCGGGAGCCTTAACCACAGGGCCACCACGACTGACAGTCACGTCGTAGAGTAATTTGAATACAATAAAAAACAATCATGTTGCACCCAAATGTATTGTTACGCCAAGTAATAAAGTAACGTAGTATAGTTATTGTTTCTAGTTTCCAATACGGTATATGTTGTCCCCGTGTCTGTGTCTGTCCATGGTGTTGTCTGCGTTGCAGATGCAAGGTAGTGTCCTGGGATTTTGAGGCCACCATACTTCTCAATGAACTCCCGTAACTCTTTTGCCGGCCCTTCAGTATCGTTCCTCGAGCATTCGGTAACTTGTCCTGGTGTTGGTATAAATCTAGCGTCGACCAACACTGCCTTGCCGCCAGCTGAACCTGCTGCTTTTGTATAGCCTAGACTGTAGAATATCTTATCGAGAACACCGGTAGCTCTGAATATAAAGAATATGATAAGAATAGCCAAAAATGACATGAAGCAGTCTGCAGCGCCGCCCCTGTTACCAGGACATGCCCCGGTTCCTCCGCCACAAAATAAACATTTGAGCCTGGACGTCAGCAGGAACACAAGGCAAATTGGTATCAACGATATCATTTGTAACACGAATGATATAAAATTATATAATGTTTGTAAAATCATTCTTATCACGTTTTCTATCATCAGTATCAGGGTCATAAAGACCCTCACCAACATTTGTATACCGCATATTACAGTTGACAGCACCGCATGCACTGTGCGACACATGGCTCATTAAGTATCTGTAACATGTTAAATATATAAAACAGTTTATTACTATTCACATAGCTTTATCTAATTGTAAATGCATTACGTGTGCCTAAGCTAGGTTTATGAAACGTATACCATAAAATACGCGTATGTTATAAATATTACAAAATTAGATACTGCATAATTGACTGCTACCCCAACGGAATTTTGCGTTGTGCCATGAAATTTGTCTGTGCAAGGTCCACATATTATATTTGTTACTTGTACTACATCCACATAATATTACCTGGCGGCAGATTTTATTCCAATGATATTGTCTCCAATTAGGTTCATCGGTATAAAAATATTTTGTTTGTAAATAATAAATAATAAAATTATAAAATGTGTTAAAATGAATAAAAATTTCAAAACATGTAAAAGGGATTATAAAAAATATATGATTGTCAAAAAATGTATAAGACTGACAGAAGTCATATTTTGATATGGATTTTTGTTTTCTTCTATAAGTATAAATCGGTTTTAGGTTTTATATAATTCAAAAACTTGAAACCTATGGCCTTAACCTTACAACTTTGGTATAAAGCATATTAGTAACTGCTTTTATATCAGCTTTTGCTGGCGACTTCGTCTGCGTAGAATAATAATTTCTGGTAGATTAAGAAATTCTTTGGGCTCGTTGACTTAAACCGTGACTGGATAACACTTTTCGCCTGTCACAGGGGCTTGCCGTTTCAGGAGGTAGCTATTTTGGGCGGAAGCGCCCGTCTGTCGTCACTGTAGAGACCACCCGGCGGAGGACATGGCGGAGCATACGATAGCGGTGTGTGTGTGCTTGGGCTGAGTACCCCCTTATTCTTAGGGAAGCGGTCGAAGTCTCACTCACGTTGATTAAGGCTTTGGTGTGGGACGAGAGGAATCGGAAAGTTGTGTCCTCCTCCCGAAAACCGCTATAATAAATAATAGAGGCAGAGCACGTATGAAGGAACTGTACGATCCATCCCAACTACCGTAGGTAACTCTTCGCTTGTGAAACGCTCTCCGATCACCCTATGCGTGAGTGAAGGGAAATCCAACAAGGATAACTTGTAAACTACAACCAGAGATACAGAGCTTTACGTTCCGTGGGGTCAAGGTCAAGTACAATGAAATTGTGCTGCCCGGCTTGGGTTTCATGTCTTTTTTAGGGTTTATTCTACTGCTGAGTCCAATGTTCAGAATTGATTAAGTATAGTACTCTTTATTACAAGATAGGAAACAAGCGACAGAAGTAGTTATATTCATAAGCCCATTTCTAGCCACTGCTGAGAAAAGTAATCCTATGACACGCCACTTCTTAACTACATTTTGATAAATTTATTTTCCTTACAGTACCAGTTCCTATGAGATTTTAAGTATCTATAAAAGTCATTCTTCACACATTTTCACATCTTTAAAAAACCGGGACACCCATACATCGGCGGTAGCTGAGCACGCTTGTAGCACGGGCACGGCTCACTTCCTTCAGCCGGGGTTGCGGGGTAAGCGCAATGAGGCACCGCGACCTCGGCCCAGAGCAGAAGGACCAGGGGGGGTTTTAGTCAGTAAGAGTCTGACACTCCCTCCCGCCCGGCCCTGGGCGGGAGAAGTCATTTGATGATTTTCCCCTGCCAAAAAAAAAGGCTAACTTCCTCCGTTTCGACAAGGTCTCAGTACTAGCGAGGGAAAAATACTTCGTACCGCGGAAAGTAAGTGAGGCCATCGAAATAAGCCGGCGTCCGAACTTCAACAGAGACGGTGGCTGGGCATTACCACCAGCCTGGAAGCCGAGTCTGAAATCTGCGTCAGACTGCACTGTTGCGGGTCTGGAGTGCGACACAGTTAGCGCGGTATGTAACACTGTTTTTGCGTCGACCCGGGATTCGAACCCAACACCAACGCAGCTGCAGGCGGGCGAGTCTAGCGTGCCAATAGTGTCGCGCGCGCCGTCGCTGCCGATGCCAGAGATAGAAGAAAGGGCGCGTTGGGCGCGCGGACTCGAGTAGCCAGTAGCAGCGCGACAGTCGCCGAGTCGCGTGTCGCGGAATACTGCTCATTAATATGGGCCTCTAGCATGGCTTGAAACTAGTCGAGAATCTCGTCAAATTATTACGTGAGTAAGCCGAAAACATAATAATTAATTTAGAATGTCTCACGAAAGTTATAATAAAAATTCTTATTTTATTTGAAAGAAGACAAATTTAGAACAACAAAACATACAAACATATTTAAAAAAAATGCTTGCGTATTTATACAAAATGAGAAAATTAGTTCAGTTTTTTGTTTATACAAACTTTCAATAACTGTTTAACCCATCGAGTTTAAAATTATGTTCCTGACGTTTTACTTTCGACTTTTTATTTACATTTCCTATACTTATGATTCGTAAGTTAGAAGGGGGGCATTTCCTTTAGCTTTGGGGCGATTATTTCCGAAACTATTAGATAACATTATCGAAAAATGATCGTAGTTAACCCCTTTTCATTTTTAAATACCTACAATTACACGTTAACAACGTTAAACACGTTAGGGTTGAAATGGAAAAAAACACTCCCTACTTTACGTGTACCCTAATAAAATGATTTTTCCACATTTTATTTTATCACTTTATCGGCGTGATGGATATACATTATTGGTGTCAAATTTCAGCTTTCTAGTGATGTATCGGTTACTGAGATTACCCGCGGACGGACAGGCAGTCAGTCAGACAGACAGACAGACATGGCAAAACTATAAGGATTCCTAGTTTACTACGGAACCCTTAAAAGGTATTTCTTTACGTAAATCAATAAACACAGTTAACATATTCTAATACACTTTATATAATATACCTACAAAATTAAAATATTACATTAATTTAAATTTACTATAAAATAAATATCCCTTAAATCTGCCATATCAAAAATACCTATATTTATAAACTGCGTTAATATGCCACTCAAATTACAATTATTTGAGTATATTAATTTTCAAGACACCATTAGCAGGTAATCTGAAAAAAATAATATAGGTATTAAGTACTTAGACATTATTTATTTTTATTAAAATCTCTCTACAAATAAAAGTTAATCTACTGATGTTGTTAACTTTCTTGACAGCTGCAAGTGCAAATCAGGAGCGCCTAGACCAGAATAAATATTTGGTGTTCTAATCGTTTTTTCGAAAATTATTCAGTCATCGCTTGGAAATGCCTACGCGAATAAGCTCATTCCCAATTACCCTTGGCCATATTTTTCCTTGGCCTTGGCCTGATTTTTCAATAGTCAGATAAAAGTTACCTGGGGCTGGGGAGTAATTATGATGCTGTCGCGTCAGAATGTTTGTATAAGACAGTGTCAGCAACAATTTTATTCCTCAGATAACATTTAGCTGACTATTCAAAAATCAGTCCTAAGACATAAATGGTATTGTTAACCTTAGAATAACGATATTCAAACATACACACTAATGCAGTTATGACATGAGCTCACATTAAATCTTGACTGTACAGTTGACGCGGCGGCTAAACAACTGGCTGTCGTACAATTTTATCCTTTGTGTGATCCACTTATTGTTGTTTCGGGCTGGGTATGATATTTATGTAGAAAGTGTGGGACAAACTTTGTTCTATATTTTACAATCATGGGTATTTTAGGGAACACAGATAATCACACCTAATACTGATATTATTTTCCTTTCGCTATTCAAAATGAGCTCTTAAATTACCTTTTCAAAAGATATGCCATCAATTCTCCGTCAGTTTTCTATGAGTGGATTGATTGGAGGATAAAATACTTTGTATTATGTGCACGCCAGCACTTAAATGCACTTTCTGCAGACATAGGTACTTATAATAACATGCTTTGAAACTTTCATCTTAGGAATAATAAACAAAGACATCATCGTTTTCCATAATTATTATAATTCGGTAAGTTTTGGCCAGTCCCTTTGACGTATCCCATGTCCATTAAAAGTTTATCTAGCACCCCAGTGGATTTCATAAGAGAGTATATCACCAACATGCTTATTATAGCCATCACTGCGTCACATCCTGCACTTCGTGCTCCTCCGGTTGCACCCCCGCCACATATCATGGACTTTACCTTCGCAGTCACAAGGAACACAAAACAAATCGGTAACAGCGATATCATCTGTAGTATTATAGACACGAAGTTATAGAATGAATTTAAGATAAGTTTGAGTAAATTTTCCATCATCATTATAGACACCATGAAAACCCTCACTAGCATTTGACATGCGCATATTAAGGATTGTACCATTGCTTGCGCTGTGCGACACATGATTGGCAATTATCTAAAACAAATATTTTATTTGTGTTAGTATGTCACTTTCAGCTTCGTGTCATGAAGTAGTCGTGTCGTGTTCTCGGGGAATGAATGGTATGCATACAACTGAAGCGATCACTTAGAGAATCAGTCCCTCGAGGTATTATTGCATCCATCGCAGACAAGACTCGGGGCGGCAGACTTTGGAGGAGTACGTGACGTGAAATGAGACAAGCCCTGCCCTTGTCATATATGCACATACAATCACATTCTCTTATTTTATTTAACTTTCATTAAATTCATGTATCTGGGCAAACAAACAAAGGGTTAAGTACCGGGCGAATATTAAACCAGTTTTGGAGCAACCTTTTTACTACTACCTCCTCGTTGAGGTCACATTAATAAATACCTTACGTCCATTTTTCTATCTTTTCCAAACATCATTACCATCCTAATACACCATTAGGTATCGAATTAAGTACGTAATTGTGCATACCGCAAGTTTTCTAATACAGTTCATCCCCTCATCGTTCAAAATAATGCAAACTTTCTACAGCATTCTACTTTCATCCTTCGTTTGCCAAACTTAAAATTCACTTTCATTCAACACTGTAATGAACAGAACCAGGCGGGCCACAAAGGAGCTAAAACCACACCATACACTTTGTTTCTCATATGCCGCATTTCACCATTCTTTTCAGATATAAATAAATTTTCCCATCGCTTATAAATATACTTTTTAGATAAACATACTCGTATAATAGTTCTTTATATATTGCAGAAGGCAGCCTTCCAATTACTTTTATAAATAATAATATTTTTATAGTATAACTTAAAAAATCCAGTAAAATTCTATAAACGCTCGTACATCAATATGACAAGAGACGTCAAAATGAAGTACCTATAGTAGAAGAAACCACAGAGAAGTATAGGGCAGTCGAAAACATGAAAATAGAGCATATCAAAAACTATATAAACAACAAATTATTAAAGTAGACACTCTCCTCTTAACATGTAGAACACTATTTCACTTGAGGGACATCTCTCGATTTATGAAACCATACCTCCAGGATATACAGCTCAAAGTAGGTACAAGTAAATAAAGTGAAATCTCAGGGTGTTAGCATATCTAAGGACGTACCAGAGGGCTCAATACTACGACCTCTCCTCTTCTTGGTCTACTTAAATTAAAATAAATGCCTTACCCCATTTTTTCCGCGGACTTGGCGTTCGGCGTTCGGCGCGTCCCAGAGATATTATTTGAGGAGAAAAAAACACGAAATTAGTTACCTCTTCCCGCGGTAAATTTAATGCAGGAGACAGAATGACTTAAGCCTTTCTTTTGTCAGGGGAAATCATCCAATGGCTTCTCCAGCCCATGGTAAGGCGAGACAGAGTGTAGTCTCTTACTGACTAAACCCCCCCCCCCCCCCCCCCGTTCCTTTTCCTGCTCTGGGCCGAGATCGCGGTGTCTCATTGCATTGCGCTTACCCCGCAACCCCGGCTGAACATCAGCCCTACTGGGCCCCGACTGTGGTGGTGTATTGGCTCTTTGAAGGGCGCGCGGAACGCTACGCGCCGTACGCTCGGGCCTGGTTCTGGTCAGCCCGCAGCAGACCCAGCAGACCCGCGCTTACGGTGGCCGGAGATCATTTCTCATTAATAACCTTAATGTGTCAATGAAGGACAAGGATTTTTCCAGAACTAGACCGACATAGGAAACCGACTCCTTTCGTTTTACGGGAACTTTGCTGAACTTAAAAGATGACCATGATTTCGGAATACCCTTAAAAGTAAGTAAGCTGGTAAGTTTTATGGGGTGCAAAAGTTAGGTGATGTCGTTCGCCCCATCCCGAGATCTTAAGATAGAATCTTAAATATAAGGTACTTAAAATAAACTTATATTGGCACTGATGCAAACGTAAGTAATTCAAAGATAGGGAAGTATCCCAAACCTCAAACGAATTAATATTAACATAATGGCTAAAACATGTACTTTCCTATGTATATCAGTTTATGTTTTTTATGAAAAAGAAAACATCAATTTTAAACGAATATAATTTATTGAACTGAACATAAATATCATACCACACGATAATAATTTATTAAATTAAAATACAGCTGTATTAAATTATGTTAGAAATGTAAGTGCACACCGAAACGGCTAAACGACCATCGAAAGAGGTTGGTGCAAAAATGAGCCTACAAAAGTACGGAACACCAAATGACAATACTGTTAACAAATAGTAGTGAAAATAGGGCTGGTCAACATTCATACTAAACCAGTAACTTTGAAAGTAAGTTGAAGCAAGTAAAGTACTTTAATATTTTAAATAAACATATTGTATTCTAAAAAATCAATAGCTATATAAGCGATTGAATAAGCGGGTGTGGTAAAAATAACCCCAAGGTCAGAACTAGTAGATTTCGTTTAAAATATATTAAAATTATTATGACTCGCTGTCCCGGGGACACATCGTACAGATCTGTGATCATGTCAAGAAATTGTATGCCATTTGCAAAATTATTTTATAACGCAGTATCAGATCATCCTAAAGTAGTCAACGTGGCCATCTTGTTCGATTGGACCATTAGTTTTAGTGTACATTCCAAAACGTATTCTCGAATAGATCTTCAACCGTTAAGTTATACAATAAAGTTGAATATCTATTGATGAGTTTGCAGGTAAACCAGTAACCTAAAGCCTATTTGGATTTTCAACTTTATCATATCAAAACGGCAAGGTAAAGAAATTGGACAGAAAGGCCTGATGACCTGCTGGTCAATGTACATTAAAACTCTTCGGTCGGTACGATTCTGGAGTACTATTGATAAAAGAACAATTTTAAAGACCAGGCAAGGGACTACAATTTAAAATTTCAAGCTGAAAATAAATTTCAATAATTGTGGTGTCCGTCCTTCTGTTGAGGCGTATGTTATTCTCTTAAAGCTTGTAAGCCTGGCGCATCATCAGATCGAAGTAGCAATCATTGTCAATGGACACGCTGATCCCGCTGTAATAGTTCATAAACTCCTCCAAAGTTACCTGTGGGAAAATATTAACATTCAAATATGTGGCCTATTTAATGACTGACAAGGTTCATTATCATGTTAGATTGTACTTTGCAATGTTATTATTGTAATTTTTTCAAAGGTTTTTTCAAAAAGAAAACAGCTTACTTTGCCGTCCACTGATCCTTCAGACTCAAAGTTAGAAAGGAACTTGTTCAGGATTAAATCCGCTGTCTCTTCACCGCTCATGTATCTGAAATTTAAAAACACGAAATGTGAGAATTTCGTCAAGAATCTTGGATATAAATATTCTTAAGCAAACCCACTCATTCAGTTAAGCTATACATATACAGCGTGTAAGGGTGTTAAACAAAGGACATATTTAAGGACATGTGGAAGAGCCATCCATTGCCATAAATTGGCCAATTACGTTGTTTTTTATGTAAACAACAACAAAAAACGAGCAGGCGGATTACTATGGATGGTAAGCTATCGGCACCACCAACACCGAAAGGGTATCTCCACTGGTTTCGTGTGCAAGTCCGTTACCGGCTTTGGGGATTAGGGTTTCAGAAATTTAGGAATTGAGGAGGGATAGCGGGGAAGGGTCGGGCCTCCGGTAACCCCTCACTCGGCGGTTTTCTGTAAGACCGTTTTATTAGTACGGTCGACCCAGTCCTGCCGAAGCGTCACCAAGCGGAGTGGTGCTAATCTTGTTTTATTTTAGAAAAACTGACAGCGTTCAATAGTAAGAAGCTGTGCAAAATATTGCCAGTTAAAATTATCACAAATAATCATCATACATCCGTTAAAAAAACATTTTTTTATGTCACAGGTCGGCAATTAGCAGACGGACATGGACACCCGCTACAACGGAGCGACGAGAGCGTTGCCGACCTTTTGGGGATTAGGGATTTAGAGATTTTGGGAATGGGAAGTGGATGGATTGGGTCTCCGGTAACCTCGCTCACACAGTGAAACACAACGCTGTGATTGTTTCACGCCGGTTTTCTGTGAGGCCGTGGTATTGCTCCGGTCAAGCAGTCCCATTCGTGGCGAAGCTTGGGTCTCCCACACTTAAACACGTTCGTTTTGCTGGCTATGTTAATTATTTATACTTACCTGGGATGTGAAGTAACAGCGTAGACTCCTCGGATATCATCGACGGTGATGAATCCGTCTCCTGTCTTGTCCAGCTTCTTGAACGCCTGCTCTACGATAGCCTTGCGAGAGTCTGACATGGGAGGCTGAAAAAGAAATTTTCTATTTTTGATCCGTCCCGTGAACGAAATAACACAGTGTCTTTTTTAAGTGGAGAAAACTATCGAACTACTTCTTCCATCCTAGAGGGGAGCATTGGCAGAACCTTACCGACGTAGAAAGAAAAGAAATAAAGAAAAGCATTTATTTGGACTTAAAACCACCACTTAATTTCTGTGTCTACAGTTTCTATTTTGTGGTTTTATTGAGATAAAAATGAAAACTATAACCTTTCCTTGAATGACCGGAAACCTTGAAAACGTTGCCCCACACTAGGTTTTTCTCCTGTGTCATGGGTACGCTTATAAACATACAATTTCACATACACATCACACCCAGACCCGGAACAACCCGGAACAACCCGGAACTTGTGGATCACACAAAGAGTCGTTCCATGCGGGAATCAAACCCGAAAGTTGCGTGGCAGCCAGTTGATCAGCCATCGCACCAACCACGCAGTCAATTCAAACGTAAAAATTGTTGGCCAGGCATGATCACCTCGCCTGGTTAAAGGGCCCTCTCTTTTCTGAACTTAGGGATAATTACACCCTGCACTCTAAGAGCACAAATCCCACAATCACCATCATCAAAAGCCTTTGACGATCATTACAAGTCTGTGAACCTACACACATGTATATAATCATAATCAAACATAATCTCAATGACCGTGAGCGTATAATGTCATGGTGATTCCGTAGGTTAAGGCGGCCGCTACTTAAGTCTGAGGGTTTGAAACCTGTCTAGTACTAATGTGACTTTTTCAGAGTTATATGCACTTTCTATGATTTTAAAGACACCACTGATATACGGTGAAGGAAACATTGTCGGGAAACCTGGACTTATAATAATGTTGTAAGTCACTAATTGAGCAAGCGTGGTGAATAATGCTCAAACATGTAAGACGAGTGTAATTTGTAAATGTAATTTCTCAATGTTTGACAAGAAGATTCATCATCAGCCTGTTGTCGTCCACTGCTGGACATAGGCCTCCCCAATTGCACGCCACTGAACTCGATTTTCAGCTCTTCTCATCCAACCACTGCCAGCCACCCTGCAGATATCGTCAGTCCACATAGCTGGAGGGGCCCCCTATACTACGTTTGCCTAGACGTAGTATAGGGGGACGTAGTATAATCACAAAATGTAATACTCACACGGATGTGTACTAAGAATTCATCAAGGCTGATGGAACCGCTCTTGTCTGTATCGAACCTGTTGAACAGCTCCACTGCATCCTAGAACATAATTAAAATTGAATAATAAAGAGTTATAACACTTTTAAGAGAAAGTATTTTGTAAATTGCCTATAAGCGCTTAAAAACTGAGAGAAATTTTCGCAACGCACACATCAACATCTATGCTACGATCTCAGAATACAGAACAAACCAGAAGGCGTCAACGCGCTTCAAACAGAAGCAACTAAAACCACTCTTAACTCGAATAGTATGACATTTCTACAATCAGTCAATTTTGGCACGTGGCATGTCGTGACGTATTTACGAGTATCAATTTTAATTTTATTATGTCGTCTTGTGTTATTCCTACGAGTAAAAATGCGGCTGGAATTACGAAAAAAGTGGATAAGATTACATTTCATCTGCAAGCACGGACTGCAATAGTATATTTAATTAATTATTGAATTTTTTTTTATCGATTTATTTTTCTATGAAAATGATGCGGCCATTTTAGGTGAATATTTTACCCACTTATTTATTTGTTGTGATTTATATTTTTGTCCATTATGGAGCCTATGTCATATTAGTGTCCCTGCCCACTAACAAAAAAAAATCATACAAAGGGCACGGTTAGATTAATTTTGGAAACCATCTAACCAGAGCATAGTTTGCTCAATTCACTTTGAAGAGATATATTTATGACAAAGGTGGTTTGAAAACAGCATTTCCTACTAAGGTATATCTATACTAATTATAATGCTGAAGAGTTTGTTTGTTTGTTTGCTTGAATGCGCTAATTTCAGGAACTAAGTAAAGTATAGACTTCTAATCTTTAGTTCCGAGTCCAAAGACAATATATATTACAAAAAACTAAACCAGCAAAAGGGAACGCAATAAAACCTTTGTACTTATTGAAGCTTTGTTTTATTTGTTGTGTATAGTAGGTGTAACTAAAATTTAACGTAAGTTTACCCATTTTTTTTGGGTTTACCCAACAAAATATATCTTACCCTCCTGTTGTAAAATTACTCCAAACCAAGGGATTTTTTCCACTGACGGCAACACTACGCGGATGTGACATTTGACGACATGCAATTATGAGTGAACGCGGATTCTGGTTTGTTCTGTATTCTGAGGCTACGATGTAGGAATTGTTAAAGCTTATGTTTAGTGGGATAACGGATTTGATTGTTTTTTTTTTATGTGATAGGACGGCAAACGAGCAGACGGATTACCTGATGGTAAGCAATCAGCGTCGCCCATGGCCACCCACAACAAAGAAGGAGTGCGTTGCCGACCTTTTAGGGATTGGGATTTTGGGGATTTAGGGATTGGGAAGGGATTGGGCCTCCGGTAACCTCACTCACACGGCGAAACACAACGTTGTGGTTGTTTCACGCTGGTTTTCTGTGAGGCCGTGGTAAAACTTCGGTCGAGCCGACCCATTCGTGCCGAAGCATGGCTCTCCCACACTTAATGGAGATTGTATTGGTGGGTTAGGATTGTATTGGTGATGCCATCAAAAATTGCCCGTGGAGCATTATAAGCAATTTAAAAGAAAATTTATAGTTTCTCTGGATAAATATTGTTTATCACGGTATACTCCGTAGGAATAAGTATTCCTACGGTACAGTATTTATAAGTATAAATCGAAACATCTGCTGCTGCGGCTCTGCCATGATACATGTGCATGAGCCATGCTTCGGCACGAATGGGCCTGCTTAATTAACCGGAATAACCCCATGACCTCACATAAAAAAGGCGGGAACAACAGTCGCGTCGCGTTCAGCCGGTAACCGGCACCTCCATGCACCTCGCCAAATCCCCAAAATTTTATAATCATCCAATTCCTATTCCCTAAAAGGGTGGCAAAGCACTCTTAACACTTAAATTATGTAATCATAAGGCTATAATTACCGTATGGTTAAGTTCTAGTCCAGTTTCCTTGATTCCATTGATAAACTCTTCCTGATTCAACTGCTTGCTGCCGTCGTCATCCATTCGTCGGAAGATCCTGCAATATTATTTCAATGAATGTAAACTTCGTATCAAATGTAAAGCTTCATTTATAATTGTATAATGATAATTATAACTGAAAAGTAAATTGAGACAGAAATTCACAAAATACGCTGTTTCAAACACACATGTAAAAATAAACCAAAAATAATCCACAAGTACTGTCTTTATTTGTCTTCGGTTTGGCTAATTTTGGTCTTGAGTTGTTTGTGGAAGTCCAGAAAAGGTTTTTACGTAAAGATTTTTTTAAATCTTGAAACAGTGTAAATTCCGCCATGCCGCGGGCGGAAGCTAGTATTAATTTTTTTTTTTTTTGTTTTAATAACAAAAACAATGTCGTCGTAATAATGTTTCTCAGTATACCTTCCAAGGCCCAATATGCCCGACGCGCCACGGGACAAGCAGAGTAGACGGAGCTTCTCCAGCGGGTCGGTGGCGGAGGTCAGCGCTCGCGCAGACCTCTGCATCAACTCCTCCTCCTGCCGTGACGTCGCTGACAGCGGTCTGTGCCATGCTACTGCAAGTTGCCATACAAATAAATTACATTAGTACCTAAAGTTTATCTCAATAATTTTGTGGTGGTTTTTTTTCTTGTCAAGAGAATTCATCAAATGACTACTCCCGCCCAGGGTAAGGCGAGAGACAGAGTCAGACTCTTACTAAAAACCTCCCGTTCCTTAAATCCTAGAGTTGGGCAAAGTTTTAGTAACAAGTTTGAGCAGCCTTTTGTGCATTTTGGAGGTGAATGTGAAAATTTTAAATCATAATAGGTATTTTAATTTAATTCAGATGTCCTTTATATAGAAATCAAATTATACAAATACCTATCTATATATTTCGAAACATTTGGGTATATGTCTACCTATTTGCAAATAACTTTTTAATTTGCATTCAGTTCAATAACCTTACAGTTTCCGCATGTTATGTTATGTATGTTAGAACTAGAACACATAAACATACTTATAATATTATAAAGCTGAAGAGTTTTTTGTTTGTTTGAACGCGCTAATCTCAGACAGTACTGTTTCAAATTGAAGAAAATATTTTTTTGCTGAAGAGATTACGTATCGATGAAAGCTTTATGCTATATAATATCACCCTATGATCTGTAGGAGCCGAGCAGCAGGTGAAACATAATAAAAACATAAAAATCAAATTCTCCTAATAGTAGATAATCAGTCTCATTTCATAAATCTGCCCATTTTGGCTACAAATTGGGCATTCCCAAATCAAATCTCAACAACACCGTAGGAAAACGAGATAAGAATGACGAAGTTCAAAATAAAGTGCTAAATATATAAACAAATATATAAACAAACTATTAATTATAGGGACGGTATCAAACAAAAAGGAACCGCATCACAATAAACAATAAAAATCAATATCAGGAAGCTAGTACAAAAATAATCAACACGCAAAGGCAGTGAACTGCCTCCTGAATCTACAGCCATGAATGAAAAAGAAAACATAAATATTCAAACAAGGTTATACAAGCACATCAAGCTAACCAAACTCCTTTTTGCAATTTTCACCTCTATACCTATGCTATAAGATTGAGAATCTTTTAAAGTAGTTGACGGATTGGCAATCTTGATATGCCGCTGTAAGTAATATTGTAATCTCAGTTAATTTACGGTCCGTTAGCAAAACATTATTGGATTTATAAACAAAACTAGGTTAACAGGCGTACTTAAACTTTGACAAGAACTTTAAACCTTTTCGTTAAGCCCTTGACCTATATTAAAAGGCAAAAAACACTGAAATTATAGCAGGCGATATTCCGGGCGTCGGGGATCGAGCGATGGTCTCCAGCCACCGTGAGCACGGGTCTGCGGACGGCTAGCAAGGGTAGTTGCCCGACCAGAACCAGACGCGTACCGTACGGCGCGTAGCGTTCCGCGCGTGCCTCAAAGAGTCAATAAACCACCACAGACGGGGCCCTATAGGGCTGAAGTTCAGCCGGGATTGCTGCCTTGCGGGACAAGCGCAATAAGGTACCGCGGCCTCAGCCCAAAGCAGGTGAAGGAACAGGGGCGTTTTAAAGGGGGGTAAATTTATCAAATGACTTCTCCCGCCGTTGGTGAAGACCACCCGGCTGGGGCAGCTTTACTAGCACCAGAAACCTCAATTGACTAGCTGTATTTCGCTTTCTTTAAAACCGGTTGCTTCCAGAATGGTATGGTAAGCTATCCTTAAAGTGTAGGTATTCCGCATAGAAATCGGGTCGCAATCAGAAGAAATAAACAGGTGCAAGAATTGTACTGCGTAAAGAAACTAGGTCATTTATTTGAATGGGTTTTAAGTGTGGGAGACCCATGTTTCAACACGAATGGACCGGCTCGGAGTTATACTGTGGCCTCACAGAACACAACACCTACGTTCGATTTCATCGTGTGAGTGAGGTTACCAAAATTTTCCGTTCCTTCTATCCTTCTATTTAACTAGAAGTGTCGCTCGTCTTCCTACGCGTACTTAGCGAGGCCATCCCATATAGCTATGGAGCTTAGTATCACAATAATTTTACAAGAAGAGATAATTGTGTAAACGTAGTATAGGTACAGAAGATGGAGAGTAGATGTTAAGAAATCATCCTTCCCCCCCCCCCCACCTATTCTGTAGGTCTCTTTTCAACCCGTTTTACCGAACTTGTATTATCATAACACATACACATACAGCTTCACTTATGCTCAAGCTGCGAATTCGAAAAAACGTATGAACATTAAAACTGTAAATATTTGCAGAAGAAGCTATTTTCGATGCGTCCCCTTAGTATAAGAAAGTCTTATTAAACATGTTTACAGCAAAATACTTAAATGAAATGGCACTACACCCCAAAATACGGTTGCCTAGCAACAAACGACTTTGTTATCAAACGACAGCAGAATACATCAAAATTGTAACAATAGAAAATAGGTCAAACGTTAACACAATGCATGAACATAACAACATTCAAAAACATAATTTGAAATTAAAAATATTAATGTAATCCGAGTAAAACTTTCCATCATACAGAACCTAGTTGACTTTGTTTTATAAAGTTGAATAAACTGTTAAGAATCTGTAGGGCTTCGATTTGTATGAATAAAGAACAATCAATCATTTCTTCACAGATATACCTACATAATAATGTCGCATGCAATGCATCAATGGCCTGAATGTCTTACTGCTTCAATTGAATGTGACTTCTCATTTACGCTATTAGTTCAAGGCGCAGGGTTTTTTATGGAAACAATTCAAAGGGTGGAATGGGTCTGCTCAACCGGACTGATACCATGGCCTCACAGAAAACCAGCGTGAAACAACCACAGCGTTGTGTCTCACCGTGTGAGTAAAGTTACCGGAGGCACAGTCCTTCCCCTACCCCTACCCCAATCCCTAAATCTCCAAATCCCTAATCCTCTTGTCAGCGACGCACTCGTAACTCCTTTGTTGCGGGTGTCCATAATAGGCGTCGCTGATTGCTTACCATCAGGTAATCAGTCTGCTCATTTGCCGACCTATCACATAAAAAACAGACTTTAATGAATAAAAAATAAACTTTCCAGAATGGCAATGACACACAGAAATCTAATCATCATATCAAATAAACAGTAAACAAAAATGTACTGAAATAGAAATTCAGTCATTCATTCAAACAGTCATTCAGGCCGTTGATTGAACGGCAGATTAAACTATTAGCCTGCTATATTACGACATATTTATGTGATAAATGAGTACCTAGCTTATCGCCTGCGACATCAACCACGTACTATTTAAAATATTTCCCGAGATCCTTTAAAATTATTAGGATAAAGCGAATGAAACTGATAAGCTTTATAATACACAAATATTATATCAAACACATTTTACTTATAATGTTGAAACTTATCCAATGTAAACAAACAAACTATACAAAGTCCCTTTTATAAGTATAAAGGTCTATATGCGTACTCTGTGTATCAATATTGCACCTAGATAGGGGCCATAGCAAGCTGAGCGCTGTCGCTAAGCCATTTTGCACTGCGGTGACGGTGACGCATTCTTTTATTTGTTATTCTATGTTTGTATCACATATTTTTTTCTTTCTTTGGTTTTTCTTACTTTCTCGCACGGTTTCACCCGTTACCGGGCTCCATTTGTCGTAGCGTGATGTGTTAGCCTTCGGAATTTACTTCGGAACATTGTAGCTATCTATCACTGAAAGAACTTTGGAATTCCAAACAACGGTTCCAAAGATTACACCCTATACACAAACTTAGAAATTACAAATTTTATCTGTATAATGTTAGTATAGTATAGATTTCTACAGTCGGTTTATGTGTCTGCCTGATTGACATGAAGAAGCTAGAACTTTCCACACATTATTAATGTAGATCCCGCATGGCGTATATTTGTCAATACTACGTTACATAGGGGTTGGTAACCGAGTCGTACCAACATTCGCGGTCAAATCGATATGAGTCAACACTCGTTTGAAATATTCAATTCAAATAATACACTGACACACCAGCTGTCGATATCCAAATTAATTATTAAACAATTAGAAAACTGTGTGTTATTCCGTTATTTGTTTCCCAAACATGAGGACATTTTAACCTCAAAATGTTTGTGTACGAAACTGCGTACATTCGCTTGGGGCCGGCCGGCTGCAACGGATACCGTACGGCCTACGACGCTTTTTTTATGTACCTATTTATAAAAACAGTAAGTTACCCTTTGTGACTTAAAATTTCTTCTTATTACTTATAGAATTGAATGATTTAGACAGAATAATGTGTGCCAAGTCATTATGTTTACAATAATTCTAGTTTTTTTTAAATCGTATGTGCAATAACAAACCTCTGCACTCAAAAATACATGTTTTGAGTCAAGTATTTGATGCACAATGTGTGTTTTGTTTTACCTAAGAGATGTTATAATGTAAAGATTCTTTATTTTAACGTCACACTCACACGATAAGATTAATAGTAATCTCCTGAACGGTTGAACATTTCTTTCTGATCACCACCAAAACTGGAGCAAACAGTAACAAATCCACTATACACAAAGGTTTTAATTAATATAAAACCATTCTAATTCACACACGAAGTATTCTTGCAAATATGACTAACACAAGTGCTTTAATACAACAACAAAATAGGATAAATATTTCAATAAAACTTACTGTTTGATGAGGTTTTAATCTTTCCCAGATACATTTTGTGAAGCACTTAACTTTATACACAACACCACGTGATCAAAACCTTTCAAACATGTTTTGAAACTAAGGTATACGTCTTCAATGCTTCGCTTGTGACCGTCGACTGTCGAGTCGAGGTGGGACCGCTAGAGCAGGGCGGCGACGTGAGACGGAATATTTTACAAGACCCCAAAGTTACAAATATACAGTCGAAAGAATACGCGGCACTTATTTTTACTGTAATATTTTTTAACTGTATAATTTCTTGGGATAGTTATTTGTTACCCTTATACCATGAATATATATAAAATTTACTCAAAATTTTTATTTTATTCTTGCATAGTGATAAGGTAATAATC